CAGTGCAGTCATGAACCTAATTTGCAAGCATGGTGGATTTTTTCTGCTCAGTATGTCTCATTTTTTAAACATTTTTGGATATTCCATTGCACAACTTCCACCGTCTCTGTGCAGAAATGTGTTTTATCGTTGTAGTTGTGGCACACAGAGCTATTCTTTACATCTCCTGATCCCATAATCAACAGCTAGCTTGGATGAAAACAAACGCACTCTGCTCTGTGGTTGTTGTGTTATGAGCTGGATCGATTTTCTGTCAGGTCAACGGGACACTTATCAGACCGCATCACATGAGCAGATTTTTTTGTGGAATGGCCGGTTTCACCTGAGTGTTCTGTTGCTGGAGCCTGGGTTCCCCAGCGTGGTCTGAGCACTGGGAAGGGTGTCTGTATTCATGTTTTCTAAAGTTAATTCCAAAAAAACGAGAGCAGCTGTGTGACACTTACATTCTACCACAGAAAAAACATTATTTGCAATGTTGTGAAATATCTTACTACAGGTGTTGAGTGTGGGCTGCTTCACATTAACTGCATGCATTAACATTAAATGGTGTAAACTTGATTTGAAGCTTTCGTGACTGCAGAAATTACTCTTTGGTTATTTCGGTAAAGTAACGTAGAAAGAAAATGTATTTAATAATAGAATACGACGTTTCGATCGCAACACAAGCAACCGTCATCAGGTAAAAAACAAACCTAGTGGACTTATAAATACAATGCAATACAACAAAGAGAGTCGGCCAAGACAAGTCAGAGCAAAGAAAATGTTTTGTTGTTGCTTTGTTGTGTTGGTCGACTTTCACAGTGAAACCTGCAGAGCAGCACACGGATCGTGAAAATGTCACTTGCGATATACATTCACGATTAAGACAATCAAGTGGGCTTAGAAAGTACACATTGGGATACATTTTGATTGAATGGTGCAACGAGCAATGGAACGGCAATCAAATTAGAGGTCCTAATGGCGAGGAGATGTTACAAATGAGATCAAGTCATGTGCAAGAGTGAGACAAATTGTGGCTAGCTAGACCATAAGGGATTCTAGATTTGAAGCTTTTGTGACTGCAAGGATTCATACTCTGAGGTTCTTTCGGTAAAGTCACGTAGGTAAAAAATAAAATTAAAATTTATAAAAGTAATAATAAAAATAAAATAATAAGTCATGACGTTTCGGAGGCAACACAAGTCCCCGTCATCAGGTGGGACCGTCACAGCTATATTTACTGTATCAATACGTTCCATTCATTGGCTACCACACTCAGATAAGCTCCTCCCCCCCTCCTCCCCCCTTAACTTGTATTTAAGAACTTGTATCTTGAATTTTTTTGCCTCACTTGATACAGTAAATCTAGCTGTGACGGTCCCACCTGATGACGTAGACTTGTGTTGTCTCCGAAACGTCGTGATTTATTATTTTATTTTATTTCTATTATTTTATTAATTTTTACCTACGTGACTTTACCGAAAACACTTAAGAGTACCATAAGGGATATTGCCGGATAAGGGACGCCTATTAAATAAACGTAGGTTCAGATAATGAGATGAATCGCACTCTGCAGTATTGTTAGTCAATTGTTTAAATAATTGTTGGAGTAACGCAGAAGTGGTTGTTATGTAATTAACGCACCTCCACATAATGGCTAACGTATACAAGGTTACAATCACCACACCGTTGGCATGCGTTTGTAAACATCTTCTCAGTTGAACAATGCACCCACACAACGATACCGCCATTGCTGTGTTAGACAGTTTCTATTTGTCCAAATGTAGACTACATTGATGCGCAGCAGATACCCGTTGTTTTTAGATACAAATGAAGGCACCTGGGATTTGAACGAGCCAGAGGACCACCTATGTTGTATTTATTGACATGAAATGTCAATAAGTTTTGTCTTTTGTCTCGAGTTGAGTACAATTCTCCCTCTCCTGGATGAAGCTACCCTTTATTTTGTCTTCCTGCAGGTGTCAATTGAACAATGTAACAGTCCACATGTACGCGTACCATATTATATTATGCATTCAGAGTTCTGCTATCTCTAAAGCATTAGAAATAAGCGAGCACTAAATGCCTCATAATGGACACTTCAGGGGTTTTTTTTCTATTTAAAACATCTATCACTGCGAGCAAAGAAATTGGTAAATGTCGCCCATGGCTATACGGTGGCTCGGTTTTGGGAATACGTCGTAAAAAAGGCACTGCTACGTGCCATTGTGAAGGTTTTACTTGTCTCCCTCTGTGATTTAACCGCTTCACCACTTTCGAACGCTCCTGAGTGGCGCAGACCGGCCAACGCACGTGCAACTAAGAGGGGACCCCGTTTGTGACTGCAGAGCGACTCAGTGCCACGTATCAGCCGATCAAGTGCTTCTGGATGCGGCCCGTCAACCAAACCAGCGTACAAACCCTCCAGCGAAATCTGAAAAATTTGGATCGCGTATGAGGAACTCAACCGTTTGTAAAAAAATTAACTTCGGTTAATGAACGCTATGAAGATGTCGCGGGAAATGTTTGATCAAATCTTGAGCTGTTTTTTTTTGCCTGCCCGTCCATCAGCAGCCATAAGCTCACATGACTGGGGTGAACACATGATACATTTTGAAAATATGGTTTAATGAGGTGACTGAGATCCTTCGGAGACATGGTGGTGCCCTTTCGAAGCCAACACTGCTAATCACGTGGGTTTTAATTGAGGCAGTCACTCATGATAACACTAAGCTCTCACGTGTATCAAGGTAGTTTCAGCCCAGAAGACTGGATTAGAAAGAGGAAACTAAATCTGGAATGGGCATGCGGTGGTAGTGAGAGAAAACGGGGCTTGCTGATGGAGTTGACCGAGGGAAGATTGTTTGGCAAAGTCCACGAGGACGAAAGAGAACAGCGATGCTGGAGGGCGTTCAACAAGGACGGACGTACGGACAGGTGAAGAAAGCAGCGGGGGACAGAGCGACACGGAGGAGAGAATCGTGTCGGGCGCCTGTCTATGCACAGGCTATTAATGAATGAATCTCCCAATGACTGCACTAAGAATATCTATTTTCATTTAGTTCAGCATATTTGAGCTCAAAATTCTCGCAATGTTTGCGTCATACTGCGAGCATTGTTTTCAGGGAATGAGCGCGGTGCCTCGTCTATTGCTTGCAAGTAAGTCGGATGTTAAAGTGGGAAGGAGTGGTGATGTATTTTCATCTTCCAGGGCCCCGCACGGCCGTTCGATGCGCCAATCGCTAGGCGCTCACCGTCGAACCCCAAGCACACAAATGTACCTACACATATCACGAAGCTGTACAAATCGCAAATACGTACGCGTTTGAGGCAGTTGCGAAGAGGGGGCGGTTGCTTTAAGTTATTTTTATGAGGTGCTAGGGAGCTGCAGGGCAGAGAGCGGATTGATAGGAAAGGCAGGGTAAATGTGTTGATGAAGACACCTCACAGAGCGAGGGTGTTTCTGGCTCCACAACTTCCATTGTATATGGCCCGCAGCTACATGAAGCCTACAACTTATAAACGGCCGACAAACGAAATGTATCCTTCACAGCAAGGCGTTGTTGCTGCACTAATTGAGTACTTGAGGGGGAATGGTTCGACCTGGCGACAGTGGCTTTCTAATATTAGTGTTCCCAGTGACCTCTGTCTCACGACAAGGGTATTTTGTTATTCCATGACAAGTGCCTGAGGTGTGTATGTGTGTTAATGGTGTGACCCACCAAGGAAATTTGTAATTCCTATTCGGCTCTCGGTTCAATAAAATGTTCCCTAACCCGATTATAGTCGGTTGCAATAATGCATTGCTTAATCTATTTAACATATATTCTTAAGTTAGAAGAAATATGCGTAGGGGGACTTGAATCATGATTTTAGAAAGAAGAGGAAGACCGTTGAATCTTGAGCCTGGGATTGATTTGGAACTGGAGTCTGCAGCACATGCAGACAGGAGGAGGGAAGTCTAGAATGCCGCCGGCGGCTTGGGAGGAGTGACCTCCGATTTAACAGAGGCTGATGGGAGGCTTCGACGGGAGATCTCGGTTACCGGAGCAGAGGACGAATGGAGGGGAGGGCGCGTGATGAGATTGTCCGCGAGGTGAAGTGTCCATGAAGAATCTCCCGTGGAGTGCTATCCAATGCTTTGTTGGGGATCTTTCCCGTGTTCCTTGGCATGATGTTCGATATTTTGGTCTTAGTGCTGGAAGCTCCAAGCCTCTGGATACCCATCGCAGAGATGTGCAAGCACAACCACAAAATCCCACGTAGTCGTATTGCTACCATCTGTCATTGGTCTGCATCTGGATTGGTAGCTAGTGAATGGGGTGTTTGTATTAGGGTGATGTGGTCATATTTACTGGTGCGGGCGAGAAATCTGACGGTGGAATTTTGGAATCATGTGGAGTTTCCAGGTGAGGGAATCTGGGTGGCCGTCGGGAACACAGCAGTCATATGCGATTATGGTAGAAGGGTCTCAATAGCAGAAAGGGTAAGCAAGTGGGTGATCTGGGAGACGTACAGGTAGAGGTGGGAGGAGATCTTGTAGAGTGGAGAGACGTGAAAAGAACATGAGAGCTCAAAATCAATGACTCCAAAGTTTTCGGACATTTTCATCAACGTGATGTCAGAATTCAAATGCAGAAAGTGATGGCTTTACTGAGGCTATGGTGGAGTTAACGAAATTTGAACTGGGAATAAAAGCGATTACATTTTTTGTTGTTGTGTGTAGTCATGTTACTCACAGTCACTTGACGATGTGTGACAGCTGACGTAATGAAAAGCTTACACTTTTCTGCACAGGAGGTGAGGCCTTAGGTTAGAGTTTGTGGAATTCACATGTGAATTCTGCTTCACATGAACAAAGTGTGCATGGTCTAATGATGCACGTAGTTTTTTTTTTATTAAGTTAAAATCCAAATTACAGAGTAAACACGAAATTCCCTTCCTGTACAATTGTTCTGTCTTTGAAATAGGTATGTGTTCAGTGAGCATATCACATTCGGATATAAAAAAAAACAATGAAGAATGTTATTTTAAACGTTTTATTATTTCCATGGTTTTTTTAATCCGTCTGTCCGTATAATACATTCGCTAAATAAAAACTCGGAAAAGATTTGCATTAGGTATCCTGTAACATCACTTTTCTCCTCCCCGTGTGATCACATCAAAGTGGAAAAGCAATCTGACACCTGCCGAAAGTGAGTGCAAGTGATTGCATAGATGGTCATAGCGGCTTGCATAACAACATTCACGTCAACGTTTAATACAGTTTCTGCATTCGAATGATATGAAAAATAAAACTTGAGATAAACGATATAAATTCCAAGGGACTGTGTTGGGAGTTCGCATTTTCCTTCTTTTTTTGTTATAAAAATACTGTTGTATAATATACAATGTACATGATATGCAGCTTCCAAAGGTGTGCAATTACTGCACTTGCAGATACACTCATGCATCAGGTTAACAGTATTCTGTCCACAAAAACACAGCACATCCCTCCTCTGATTACACTCTCAACTATATAAAGTGTTTGACCCACAGCCAAATACAGTGCCTACAAAACATAGCACACGTCTCCCCATCTCTCTCTCCCCAATTTCAATATTCCCATAACCCTCCCTTCCGTGTCAACCCCAAGTATGCATAGTCAGTTTAAAATTGTGAATGTTTATTCATTAACAGCGTGATAACTGATGCTACGTGCACTCGCATCTGTACACTTCAAAAAGATGTCACCACTTTAAAAATATATTTCAAATATATAGCACAATAGGCTTCCGGATACCATTGCATTTAGCTGATGTATTAATGCTAATTCTGCTATATTGTCATAAGACTGTTTAACTACAGAGTAAAAATTTACAAATTATAATCGTTAACTGCTGTACCGTTAGCTTACACATGCAATGTTGTGTTAACAGTCTGCTACATTTTGCGTTTTTATTCGTAAAGAACACACACACTGGTGGTAGTTCATCCTGAAATACACCGTATGTATAGTTTAATTTCAGTAACCAGTCTCAAATGATTTAACTTATTGCAAGGCTGCTTCGACGCATAGCGCCGGCATCATTTCAGCATCGGTGAGGCTTCCAAAGGGCATCTTCTTCATCTTGCATGAAAACCCTACGAAGAAAAAAAGCACTCAAATATATCTGGTTTGGCAAATGTAAATACAGACATATGCCCTACATGCAAATATGAAAGCAGACAAATACAGATTACCACGAGAGTGACATTCATGATGAGCTCCCTAATGTGTTTGCGATACGACATTTGGACTAAAATGTGTTTTACATCACGCCGTCGTCATTCTATATTTTACATGATTTCCAGGAAGCCACTTTGAAGACGAGCTTCACGCATAGCGGATCAATGCCACACTCCTGGTCACCGTCCTCATGTGCGTGACGTGAAGAGCGCACTTGTAGCAACACGATTAAAAGCACTGGAATAAATGCTGTCGGAACACTGAGGCTGGTACGAGATCGTTGGCTGTATTCTGGGCAGCAACTTAAGAATAACACCGTGTCCTCGAGCTGAGCGAGTTTTGGAGGTCACCAAGGACTGCACAAAGTGGCGCACAAAAAAAGTTGTCGAAAATAGTTTTGCTTATTTATTTATTTCAGCGGACCTCAATAAAGACGTGACATTGAGTGGTTCCATCGTGTCGTATTGCAGGCAGGTTCATGGCCGTGATGTGGGGCTGCACTGACTGTAAATGTTTTCATGAAGCAAGAATCGTTTTTTTCTTCGTGACGTGACTCCAGTGGCACAATTTGGGAATAATTTGTAATTGTTATATATTATTAATACATGTATTATATACAGAACCTGCATTTAGGGGTTTAAGTCGTGTTTTGTCAAATGTTTCAGTTATAATGAAACAAAGAACACTTTATTTTGCTCATACAAATCCCTGCTGTAAGCCAGACCAGCGTCATTATCAAAATATGCTCAAAACTGTGACGTTAATTAAATATTAACACTCATTCTCCCTCCTCCAACAGGTTGATTGGAGGGATAAAGCATTGTGAACTCGCGCACAACAGAAATGATTGCGCCATGGTCTCCTTAGCGTCTCCCCGTAGCGCCGTGCGCTGTCGCTGTGTGGTTTAGGGAAGCAATCAGAGAGGACACTGCAGTCTCAACGTCATCAGCCTTGCAAGGTCATGTGCTCCTCAAGCAACAAAGTAGTAAAATATTGTAAATGCGTATGTTCTAAACTCAAATTACGGGACATATTGAGAAAACACGAAATGCATAACAGATGTATGTTTAATAAAAATGGTAGATGCCAAGCACAAGAAAACAAGGCTGCGCAAATCTATGACATGTCTATTGATAGTGATCACACTTTCAAATTAGAACGTTGAAAGTATCACCATGTGTAAACAAGCATAGGGGTGGCGCGCATCTCTCTGTCGCGCAGATTGTAACTTACTTTGTTGGGCCGAGTCAATTTGAAAGCACAACCTTCAGACTGTGAGTTGGGTGCTTACCATCAGCATCCTCTGACCATTTCAAAATATACATAAACTATGAACTTTATTTGTAATACCAGAATTATTATTGTGTTACCACTCCATGTATTTGTATATACTCACTTGCATACGAGTGAAATCCTATATGTGCATTGTCCAAACCCAGTAGGATTTATCATCTAGTCTATAATGAAAACAAAAACGACAATATCCCAAATTTACCATTTGTATTACAGCCAATGACAAAATAAACAAAACTGTGTGCTAGTTGCAAACTTGAAAGTAACATTTTAAAAACATAACACAATTTTCATTAAAAGAAATACGTTACACATTTTTTTTATTGTTATCGTTCAATATAGTTCACATTTTTTGTACGGAATTCGTAATTTTTACAGGCCTTCATACCTTGTAGTGCAGTCTCTGTGTTGCATGAGGAAATTCCCTGCTGTATGAGGTCATCTCAAGATATCAGATTCCTGTAAATAAAAATAGACTTGAGTGACTTCCAATTCTTCAGCACGCAAAACAAGCCAGGGAAAGATATATGGCCAATAACTACACAATTATGTTTGCAGTAACAACCCATATATATATACACTTAACACCCTTTTATATGAAATTGCACACCTTTTAAAACGTGTGATCACACCTGGTGAACACAAAGATACTTGTGATTTAGATTCAAACATTTCTGATTGACGTAATATACATCAACGGAGGTTGAAAGAGAGAAAACGTCCTTTTAATCGAATCCGTGTTTTCATGGCTTGTATAAATTATCCCATTCGTTTGTGTCAGTGTTGTGTGCATACTTATCTGCTCTATTACTGCAGCCTAACAGAGCGTTAAGCCACCATAACTGTCGCAGATTGAATTCGGAGACATGGTTATGCACCGTGGAAATTAATCGCAGCCTTTTTGTTATATATAAAACGTTGCAACTTTTCCTTCATCATGGCTCGTCTTTAACTATCATGATCGAATAACACCCGAGGTTCACTTATCGTCCACAACATTGATGTGTTGTATATCAAGCGTAAAATACTGAGCAAACATTGACGTGCAAGAATACATCATGCATCAGACTTGTAGCATGCAGACATTTGTATTGTATCCATTTAGCAAAACATCAAAGCAGATATGGTTGCATTTGTAGGTGTCATGTGTCAGATAATGAAACTAACGCCGTAGCATTACCATTGAGGGTGGCGGTAAATATTGGGTTCCTTTGGTGTCTCGTCTAACATTAGCTTCGGCATGTAATGCTTTAAAACGTTAGAAGGGAAACTCACGCATACTTTAAAACGCCACTTTAGAAGAAAATTTTAAGAATTGCTATGAGCACACATTAATTCTTTTATGTACGTTTAACGTATGAAAGGTGTGTTATTTATCAATTATTTATTTACTTAAAAAAAACGTTATAATTGTTGGGTGTTGTTATTATTATAATTGAGCGAAACCAGTCTGTAAAACGGGTGTTAAATTGTTTCAGATCAGTCTCAGTTGTTATCGGTTTTACCGTAAACAAAAAAACTTTAGAGTGCAGATTTAGGGCATTTAAACAGAGCAATAAGTATTAGTAAATGGTTTATTGTACTGCATTATGGTTACCTTGCTAATGCTGGGCTGCTCAACATTTAGGGGCCATCCTTTGACTCCTTCAGATGGGCGCTACAAATCATTCCTTATGAACAGCTCACTTAAAGAGAACTTAACAAGTTATTTGTTTGTAGCATGGCATGCAACCACTTGTGTATAACTTCCCTTTGTAAGAAGCTACTTATTAACAGTTTAGCTTAAACAGAACAAGAAAGCGATAGGTTATATTCCATATCTTACTCAAACAGTTAACATTTTAAGCACATGCTTGTAGGTGTTAACATTCACTTTCTTAGAGAGGGCCAACAAATGGAATGTTTGAAAAGAATTTATATTTTTATTTGATTAATTATCATTAATTATAATATTATTTAGGAATGCTTTAGAATAAATTTAGAATTATGATGAGCTTAAAATGTTTTAGCTTTATAGTGTGACAAAACCTTCCGAGTTATATTTTTATAACAGCATTATGTTTTTGAAGTCACAATAATACATTGTAAAAGTACAGTCCATTCCATTTAGTTTGTAGCTTTTAAACGTCTGCTTTATTTACATGTTATATGTTTACAGCTCTCTTCCACGTCAATGATCAGCTACAACACTTACAACAACTAGGCAGGAATATTACTTCTAAAACCGCAGACATTGAAGTTTTGCATTAAAAATTCTAGCTTTAGTTTAAACCGTAAAAATTATATTTTACCACAACAATAAGTTCATGTTTTAAGCTGAATTTAAAGTGATTATGTACAATTTAGAGCTTTGCAGTACCACTGTACTTTAACCGTAGTAGACCGAACAACTATGTAATCAACACGTTTCATATTACCATTGAAACTGCTTATACTGCATTAAGCTTCCGATTGTTCTTATAGAAAAACACAAGTCGGAGAAAAATCATCAAAAACATTGGGCACACAGTTATTTATTAAAATATATATTTTAATGTGATGGAACACTCTGTAATGAAATGGACTAATTTTACCAAATCGAGTTCACATTGACATCGCATGGGAAAAAAAAACCTCTAAAATAAATACATATATTAATAACCAAGTAGAAAGGGAATAAAATACGACAATAGTGCGCCTCTGCCACTGTCTGTATCAGCCTGTGTGCGTGTGTGTGTGCACGCAAGAGTGCATACAAGATCGACATTGTGTGTGTCTATGTAAGTGTTGGAACAGCGGTAATGTTCGCGAGCACACGAGCATCATTATCTACCATACGGATGCTCTCTGAAAGCAGCTTTCACTGCTCTGGCTGGCAGGGCTTTCAGATGGCCATTGGACCCTGCCCAACCATTTTCTCCTACAAGGCACAGAAATGATAAAAAAAAAACAATTATTGTCTTTGCAATGCTCCACTGCTGGGCTTTACGAAACTTTCCATTTCAAATTCAGCAGCTGCTCAGATTTTATTTCGCTTGAAGGTGCATTCGCACACAAGGGACGAGCCACATTGCTGAGTGTAGCAGTTTAAAAAAGCCATTTCTTAAAGCAACGTGGATATTCACTCGTTTCGGACAGACAGGAAACTTAACCCACTCGTTCGAGGACCCATTGCTGTGTCTTATGCTTATGGTTTCCAACCATTAATAACGTTAGTCTCTTGGGCGAATGTGAGCTCGCGCCGTTTTTAAACCTCCGGTCAATCGGCGTGGGTACTTATTAATGTTTTAGTAGGATTACAGTGTTTTTTTACAACATCCTGATACATTTGTTACTGAAGGAGCATTTTATATTCCAGCACATTTGTCTTGTTTTAAACGTGGTCCTTACCGTAAGACTCATACTCTTCTCGCCCGTATCCTGCGTAGTATTCACTGGCACTGTTTCACAACAATGGGTGTGCACGCCACATTTTCACGTTCGGATTAAAAGGCACAATCGTGAACGTGCAATCACTTAATGCAACTTATAAAATCAACATGCATTTAGAGTATTTGGCCGCTATAAATGTTCACGTGATAAGCAACTTCGTTGGACTAGCAGTTGTGATTGCCTGGTCGCTTCTGATGAAATAAAACGTAGTTTTTTTTTATATATAACAAATATTTTGCACCAAAAAAAGTCTGCTTTACTTGCCTTTGTGTCTGCGAGGGGAAAGTGCCGTCAAACGAATCTTCGTACTCAGCGATATATCCATTCTCGTAATCCTGACGAACATAAAAAGGGGATAAATCTGCATGAGGGGCCTCAAAGCAGAATGCGAGGTAAGTTTGCATATCACAACAGTGAGTTGTTGTGCATATCATTATGTTGAACACGCTGAATTCAAAAACCAAAGACTGTGCATGTCAATGGTATGTTAACAGCAGCACTTATAGAACAGGTTTAAGAGTAAAACATTATATTTACACCAACAAAAGAGTGAATCATACTTATATGGAAAGATTGTCCCAAAAAATATAGTATGCAGTGTAATCTATGGCTATTGGGCATCACTAATTAACGTCTACATAACCAGTTGCCAATCATTATGAAAACGGTCCAATTGCTGAAAGATACAATATTATAACTCTGGTACCTGGTCCCTCCACATCAATTCTTCCCATGAGTGTTTGTTTAAACAAAGTAACCTTGGACAAGTTCCAGTTTCACGGAGGTCTCATCAACAGGCTATGGCCTCATGTGCAAATGCTACCCGGTGCCCTAGCGTTTTGGACAGACAACGTCCGTGATTAACGTACAACAAATAATAAAGTCGTTGGAATGCGCATCACACATGCTCCTATTTTTCTTCAAAGATCTATGCAAACGATAGAATGGAGGAATTGATCTAACTGCTCAGAGGAAATATAATTTCAACTATGTAGAGGCTTTCGGAAAGGTGACCCCTCAACGTGTTTTATTAAAGGTGTCGTTCGAACGGCGTGGGAAGCCTCTCATTGACTCAGCAGTGAACTATATTTATTCTAATTGGCTGAGCAACGCAACCAATCAGGGTTGATGGCGTAATCGGCGAGTTGTCCTGCGATTGGCCAAATGGATTCGAAAGGGAAAGGGCGGGGAAACGGCAGTGGGAACCTGTGGGAGGTGAGGGCCTCAGGGTAGTTAAGACAGAAGCGGAGGGAATTCGGACTGTTTGGCTCAGGGGACTGGACACTGGACGCATGGTCAGTATAATTTGTATTTACCAGGTAAGGCCCACTGAGGTATCCAGCCCTTTTTCAGAAGTGATCTGGCCACAAATGATAGCTCAACGAAGTGGGATGTTTCTAAATGTGGAGAGGAGGACCCGGAGAAAGATCCACGCGACCACAGGGAGAGAGAGATGCAAACACAAAATATACAGGCGTCAGGGTCGAAACCCACGACCTTCAGCATACCAGGCGAGGTAGTTAACATATCACCACCATGGCCACCCCTAATAAACGTCGTATCCATGACTCGACTCAGGTGCGCCACGCTCCCTTGTGTTTGTCTCCACACGGTGCCTCTCAACAAGCGCCGCTGCTCCGGCGACGCACGTCGAGCCTGGGAAACGCGGGTCGACACCGGGCCCGTTCACTCACGTAGTCCTCTTCGTAGGCCTCCTGAGCCAGCGGAGGTGGCGGGGGAGGAGGAGGCGGCGGTGGTGGCGGCGCCGCTCGGTATGCGGCTGCCGGCCGAGTTCGAGGAGGGGCCAGGGCCCCCCTGCCGACAGGAAGGGGGGGCGGGAGCCCCCGGGCCAGGGGGAGGCCCCGCTGGGCGGCTGCCACTCGCAAGACGGCCCTGGGGCCACACTGGGTGAGGAGCAGGTAAGGAGAAAGACACGAGGGTTCGGGTCATGATGGTAACAATAACAAAACCACAACGGCCTAATGCAGCCGCGAGGGGCTGTCGTGGCAGTGCTCTCTGTAGCTTTCTCCCGACATGTCACAACTAATAAAACGACGGACACCGTGCGGAACAATGCACGCTTCAAGCGGTGTCGCCAAATGTCACCTGAACGTCACTCTCCTTGTTATAAAATACTTAGAATAGCAATATCGAGCAATTGTTACTATTTGCTATCTGGCATATTTTGAAATTTTTCTGCTGACTTTTTTTGACAACTTTCGCATGTCAAAATAATGACATCTAGTGACTTTTCAACGTTTATCTGGCGACTTCCGGCTTTGTGGATTTGACAACGCTGGCTACAACTCAAAAACATCGGAGCTACACAGTCCATAATTGTCCCTGTGCTCAAACAAACGTTGAGTGGTGCTCCTCGCCACTGGTGGTCATTAATAGTGGTGGCAATCCTACATTTCTATGGCAAGGATAAATCAATTTTAAATATATATAATAACTTAAGTGTCCATTCGGCGGTGCTCATCTGGTAGTATTATTTATATTATACCCGGGAAGGGCCCAGTTACCCTGAGTTGGAGTTTGAACTCAAAATCTCATTATCATGAGATCATTATTCTGCCATCTAAGCTAAATCCTTAGATTGGCTTGTTAATTGGCCAACTTCCATGATTAAGTTCCAGAATCAGGAGGTGAGCATCAGCTGTTCATACAACATAATGCAGTAGTACCGATACCAATAAAAATTTCCAGTGCAGAATCACTGTCAAAATCAGGGTTCAGATGTATATATATATGAGACTGTGTTCTTTATCTCAGACCAACTCAACAATTATTCTCCTCTTGGTTCCTTGCCTTCATATGTGTGAAACGCCGATTTTATAATTGACTCGGATGTCTTGCCCACCTTTGTTCATTTTTGCATAACTTTTTCAGGATCTTCAATGACGAAGTGGGTGATAGATATTATTGGTCCTGGATATACCGAACACTGATGTATCCTCATTCCTTTATTTCAGTGCCTTGACTGACATTTGGTTATTTTTTTACGATAAGGTTGTGTTTAAATTTTCTTATATAGTGTGGAAATCCCTTCATGGATAACTTATGCAAAGTAATACCTGGGACGATGATGATGATGATGGCCGATGATGATAACGACGATGTCTGATAATGATAATGATGATGGGTGATAATGATAATTATAACGAGAATGGCTGCTGATAATGATATGGATGATGATGGCTAATGATACTATAGTAATAATAATATGGCTGATGATGATCGTGATGATGAAAGGTGATGATGATGGTGCCGTGGCCAGGTACCTGCCATGCGTGGGCATAGAAGGCAGGGGGCCCCGACTGTGACCCCCTCTGCTGAGGGTGTCGGCTCCCACTTCCACGTCATCCTCGCCCTTCAGGAAGCTGAGTTCCCGCAGCTGCTCCTGACGGATCTCGTCGTTATAGTCCTGCCCGCGCCACACGTGGACTCAAGCTGAGCATCGTATCCGACACGGATTCCACGGCGCACATTTTCGTTGAAAGTGCCGGATCGCACTTGAACGTGTCAAGAATATATAGCCTGCGAATGTGTTTGAACGTGATGGTTCTTGCCATTATCCCAGAAATGTGAATGCAGTTCTGGTGGACCACGTAGAAGTTGAGCTATTTTGTAATATGGCAACCGATAGGTCAGTGACTTGCAGGTGGGGGTGAGGACACGACCCAGCGGTAGCGGGCTTGCCGTCTGTTTTGCAGAGGTCCACAATTAGCATCAAGTGGCCGCCCTGGTTATTACTGCGGGTGTATTAATCGTAAAATACGCTTAGAATCTTCTTCACAGTGGACGTTAAAGATCGTGTTACATCAATCGCAAAAGTAGGCTATTGCGTGCCATCGTCATCCAGATTTGCCGAATTTTAAGTTACCCGCAACTTACTCAATTGCGGGAAACATATCAATTATTACTCTCTCCTGAATAAAGAGGCATGAGACTCAGTGATGCTTTCCTCTGTAAACAAGCATCACATTATTGAGTGGCCTGTAGGAGGCATTTTGCAGAGAGTATACCAATACATTACCATTTGGATTTACATAGCATCTAAACGTAATTGCATCTCACGAATCTGTAATGGTGATCTTTGTTCATCAGGGGGAATTAGGAAGGAGAATGTTATATTTTGCAGACAGGAAGCAGTTGTAGGCAGCAGAGAAGGAAAAGGTATTTGCATAGACGGAAATGTATGGGACTTTTCTTGCTAACATGGAAGGGGTGGTCAGCTTTGATCCTGAGGTTTCCTAACCTCTCTTGCAGAGTGCAAGTGTTATCCCCTCATTGGTGTGGGTTTTCTCCACGCACCCCCATGTCCTCCACTCATGTGTAAAAACATTGAAATGTTCACGAGCCACCATATATCCCAAATAGAAAACCCTGAAATTGTTTTTGAGACTAAGTGAGATTTTTCCTGGGCAAGTAAATAGAGAAAATGTTGAATTAGTTTATTTTATTATAATTATTATGCACCTTTTTTACAACATTATAACTTCAGCAATATAATGATTAAATAAATGCAAAACCTACATTCGGGTGAAATTACAATTTCCTGTTATGGTCACTAAAATGTTTTAAGTTTGTGATCAACATAACCCGGGATGATGAACCTCTGATTTAATTTTCACTATCAACATTTGACTGACAATTTGTGTATGCCATTTTAAATGTACTACATTGTGCTGCATTCAAACATGTAGGACGTTACAGCGTTAATGCACTTAAAGCATAAATGAAAGCGAAACATCTAAAGAAGTGTAATTTAATGCATACAGACTGACGCTTCATCCAGCACCTATGTTTATCACGATAGAAAAAAAAGATCGAAGTGCACATTATGATGCTGATTACATAAGCAAGTGGGTGAGTCAACAAAATTTGCCCATCACGATGTTTGCATGAAAGGGTAGCGTCATTATAGAACGGGTTTTGTTTTGCCTCCCCCGTGTAGTTGATGTACTTAGAAACCCAGACACATAACTATAAGTGTTAATCGGTTCATATCCCGGTTGGGCCTCAACTCATCCTCTACATATGGCTAAATGAGTTCCAATCTGTGGGAAGTTAATGTTCTATCCAAGACTGGTTCGCTCTACAGGAATGTGGAATTTCAACCACTGGCTCAGGGCTGTCAATGCCGATGAGCACCACTCTGATTTTTTTAATAAGGAGACACTGATTATATGTAAATTATATGATTATTATTTGTTACACAGGAAAGTCTCAATTGAGTCTCAAGTCTATGATTGGTAGGGTCCTGCTTAGAGATGTGGGACCCTATTTTGTTGTTGAATATGTTTCCGTGTCTGACGAAACGAAAGCACCAGAAAGACCTGACATGCAAAGGATCCACGTTGAAAAATATGCACTGTTACATCAGTAACAAAAGTAACCAGGTACACCTTTGTCTTACATATCATGCTTATGTTACATCATAACGATTCGGCCAACTTCATCATTTGATAGTCTGATATCGTGCCATTAGGCTTAAATATGAATGTACTAGGTTGTTTGGGGGCGCCTTTGGCGCCCATCAAAACCATTTACGGCCTTTGGCCAGGAAAGTCACGAAATTTGCACATGAACGACGCATTCACGCAAGCACCAAATGCTCCGTTTTGAAGTTTTGAAATGAAACATCTTTGAATTGTATTATGTTTTGAATTAGAGAATTAAATTTCTTCATTAAAAGCTTATATCATTTTACATCTGGAAGACGTAATTGAAAACGACATTTTGTGTGAATTTTCTCTCATCGTTCAGTAGATGTCCTTGCTGGGGGTTCAGTTCGATGCAGACTTTCACCTGTTTGGGATTTCGGGATCAAGATGAGCTGGCCATGCGAGAAGACTGCCGTCTGCAGATCAATTCCAACTTAATCGAACGTCTGTCCTTGCGACTTGTTGATTGTGGGTAATGTATGCAGGGAAAATGGGAAATTGTCGTTGTCGCAAAACAAATGGCAAAGTCGTGTCGGTGGGGGTCAAGTCGATTCTGGGAATCAACACCGAATCGCCTCGGTTATACTCGTAAATTATCCGTGCCTTGATGAAATTTCTTGCGAGCTCCTCGACAATCAGTCGCGTGCCATTGCAAAGTCCTTTCTTTCGGTCGAGAATCCGCAGAAGCAGGATGATGACGCCATTCTTCAGCATCAGGACGTGCGGTGGCATTCCCGATGGCGTCTGGTCATTGAGAAACTCGACTGTAAAATGTATTGTGTCGCTGGGATCTTTGCTCATGACTGAATCGGCACTGTAGTAGATGGCTGGCTCGCCAGGCATCTGTCCGATGATCTTGCGGTTAATTTCGAGTATCTGTGCATTTGTCGGTGCGACAATGACTCGCTTCGAAAGGTCGTCTATAGACCTATCTCCAATGCTGCTGAAGATGGATTCGATGAGATCCTCCATTGTCACCATCAGCTCCGGGATTTGAATTGTGCTCTCTTCAAAGATTCCCGGCACTGGGGGCAAGCTGCCTGTTCCAACTTTAAGCAGCCATTCATTGTGCTCATTTTGTCCCTCGCTGCGCATGTTTGTCGTAAAGTATGAGCTGCGTGAAGTTCTTCCACAACCGGCTTGCCTTGATACAGCACTCAATGATGTCCGTTCGCGTTCCTCGTGGTACAATGGGAAGAATCTGTCGAAAGTCGCCACCTACAACGTAGACTTTGCCGCCAAATGGTTTCTCGTTGCCCATCTCCTCGCACAAGAGCTTGTCGATGCAGCGAAGTCCGTTCTTTGTCAGCATAGTAATTTCGTCGATGATGATGAGCGAAGCTTTGTGCAGAACTTCAGCTTGTGGCGATGCAGGCCGCATGGAAGAGACTGAAGTGTCGAGCAAGGGAACTGGAAGCTTTAATCCACTGTGAACTGTATGTCCTCCTTTGAGCATTGTTCCAGCGATGCCTGTCGTTTCAAATGGCAGTACAATTTGTCCTTGACCCTGGATGTACGTCATGAGAGTTGTGTAGAGGAAGGTCTTGCCCGAACCTCCGGGACCGTCGACATAGAAGCATCAGTTCATCACATTCTCATCATCGACAATCATGATGATCTTATTGAACGCATCAGCCTGCTTCTTGTTGAGCATCGCAAGACGTCGTGCACCCTCATTTGCTTCCTCAACTTGGTCATACACATCTTCTTCCGATGGGTTTCTCTTTGGTGTTGGCAAGCCAATTGCTTTGCAAGAGAATCTGTGCTGCTGCAGAACGCTGTTGATGTCGTGAAGTGCTTTTGTTGATCGCGGTGTTTTCGGCATCTCTTCGCATGTCGTCGAGAATTAAGTCCAATGTGTGGTCCTCCCACAGCTTGAGAGGTGATGCCGGCTGAGAGAAGCAGCAAACATCTCGCACAACTGCTTCGGCATCATGTAGGTGCTGGCATCCGTCAAGCAGCAATCCCACTCATCGTCAGAATCACGAAGACCTCGTGCTGAAGCTGCTGCCTTGAAGCTCTCGCACACCACTCCGTCGACGGTCCGCAGCGACTCAAAGCTGGTCGCACCTCGAACATGCAACAGCAGCATTCGAAGATAGAAACGTTCTTCATCTTTGATGCTGACTGTGTAAATGTGGGACACGATCTTGTCAGCTCCTCTCTGCCGCTTCTGCCAATTGCCTCGAACGTAGACATAGTGCTGCGGGATGTCCGTGTAGAGCCACTGACGTGCATCTTGATCACTTCCGTTCAGCAAGAACCACGATTCCAGCTTCATGCAACTGGTCTGTGCTGCTAGCAGAGCTTCCTCCTCGTGTCCGGCTTCAAACATTATCGTCTGTTGGTTGGGCAGATGGACTGCCAGTCTCATCACCGTGTGCGAGAGATTGTGCATCTTCGACTCGAGGAGCCGCCACATCACCTCTGGAGCGCTCACGTACCGGCAATTGATGAAATTGGTGATTTCATCATAGCATAGTTCCGGCTGTCCATTCGAAGTGAGAGCAATGTTGGTGCAACCGAATCCCTTGAATATTTATTTATAGATGTACTTGATGGCTTGAAGGGAAGTGCACACTTCCACATTGATGTGCGCATTGTACTTGAGCGTCAAGTAGGGGTTGTAAGGCAGGACGTATCGATTGTCCATTGAAACGCCTCTGACTTCTGCCTGCCCAGCATATCGACGATGATAGAGTGGGTAGCCGCTCACATTCGGAAATGTGGTGTTGTTGAAAACTTTTGGGAACTCCTTGCTGCATTTTCCGTCATTCATGCAGGGCGCGCGTAGGTTTGCAGCACTGCATGGACCATGCATAATGCATCTCGTGACAATCTCGCACAGTTGTGGATGGTCCCACGTTGGAATTTCGGCGCACACAAACTGGTCAATCCATTCAACGGTTGTGAACTTGTCCTGAGCTCGCAGAGTCACCAAGATGTGGGCTCGCTTCTGGAACTCGATGGTGTAGACGTGCGCCTTCGATTCTCTAAACACGCCGTGTTTGGTCAGATTGAGCGTCCAACTTGATTTTGAATAGACGCGCCACCAAGTCAGGTCGAGCTGATGGCTGCTCGCCCGGTCGAAGATTGTCGGTGATTTTTGGCCAGCTCGGATTTACAGTGAACGTTATGAAGAGGTCGGGTGCACCCCATCTCACAAAGATCGACATTGGATCGCAGCATCACTTGCTCATGTTTCTCGGCGATCCCTCGAAGCTCGAAGGGAGGATGACTGTGACGCTAGCTGCAATGTTTGCGTTTTGGGCTAAGTTTGCGATGTGGTTTGCGAGACCTTGGTACTGCTCTGTTCGCAGACGCTGCTGATTTTGGCGGTTGTAGTTGAGATTGTTGGCCTCGACTTACAGGTACGAATCCACCAACCATTGTTCAGTCAGCTTTCCGGCATTCATGACTAGATTAAAGTAGCCTCAAATCGCCATTTGAGCTGCTTTCCACTGAAGCATGCTGACGTTGTTCCGAACTCTATTCAGTTGTGCTCCCTCGTAAGCCTCGCACTGCCAGTTCGGTTGCCATCCGGGCTCGCCGTATGGAAACAGAATCACGTACGTCATGAGATTCATGTCGAGGTTGACGAACTGCTGATTGGGATTCTGTGGATTCCTCAGTTAGGTAATGTCACGGTCGAACGGCGGCTCGCCATCCTCGTTGACGAAGACCATCACGACTTTGTTTTATGTTGGTGCGTTGTATCGTCGTTGATCCGACTGACGATCACGTCTCAGCACCATGCTGACCAACGGAATTTCTTCTCCCGCTTGAAGTGCACAGTCAACTTCTCATGCTTAGAATTTGCGCATCAACTGGTAGCTCGTGGCGAATCTGTTGTGCCGGCGGAAAAAGCAATAAATATCGTCCAGGATAGGTTGACGACACTGAGCATTCGTGGTGTGCTCTTGACGGATCTCCGTTGCTTGCATGCTGTCAAGCACGTACAGCTGCATGTAATGCGGTGCTTGATTGTCAAGCGGCTGCAGGTGAGATGTGTGGTGATATGTCTGGCCATGGACCTTGAAGACATATGGGCCTCGTCCTGCCAAATCGACGATTTTCGCTCCCATCAACGCGAAGGAGACAGTGCCGTTGTAGGATCGTATGTGATCGTGGAAGTGAGTGTGATTCGGATGAGTTGGGTCAGTCAGCAATGCGCGGAGAAACTCAGGATATTCCAGCTCAACTCCGTTGATGTCCTTTGGCTTTGGCAACTTGAATTTGCCCTTAAAGCAGCACGAAGTTAATTTGCGATCAACAGGGCATTCTGAGATGAAGTTTCTCGAGTCGCAGAACTGGCAGATGATGTTCAGTGGACTGCAATTGTGCGCCTCTACTCGAGTGGCATCGAAATTGATGGCTTCTTTGCGGATCGCTTGTCTCTGATGCTCTGGAACTAAGCGCTGACTCTGAATGACCGCTGTATGCCACGACTGCGATTGTTCATGCGTTTCTGCTGCGATTCGAAGTCGATAGGCTGCGGCATCTTTTTCACGCCACGACTGCGATTGCTCAGCGGTTTGTCGATTGATGAAACGTTGTTGAGATTCACAATGTGCTGCACGAATTATCTCGAGCGACTCCTGACTTTGCTTGGCCAACCATCTTTGCTTTCGTTCATTTGGCTTTCGACGCTTTTTTGCGATGGGATCTTCGTCCTCGTCCATAATTTGTTACTGGAAGTGAAAAAATCTTTAAGGAACATTATGAAGGCAAATAGAGAGAGAAGAGCGGGCTGCCTCTCCTTGGCCTCCCCTAGCTCTTCTCTCTCTCAAGCGTTCATCATATTCATCATAGAAAGATAAAGTAGTGCGCTTACCAACATATACGCACAAACGTCTGTCCCTGCAACTTCTTGATTGTGATAGCGTATGCGGGGAGAATAGGAAATTGACGTCGTCGCAAAACAAATGGCAAAGTTCTGTCGGTGGGGGCCAATACGATTCTGGGAATCGATTCTGAGAATCAACACTGAATCGCCTCGTTCTTTCTCTCTCTCAAGCGTTCATCATGTTCATCATAGACAGATAAAGTTGTGCGCTTACCAACGTAATCGAACATCTGTCCCTGGGACTTGTTGATTGTGATAACGTATGCGGGGAGAATGGGAAATTGTGGTCGTCGCAAAACAAATGGCAAAGTCGTGTCGGTGGGGGCCAAGTCGATTCTGGCAATCGATTCAGGAAATCAACACCGAATCGCCTCGTTGTCTCTCAAGCGTTCATCATGTTCATCATAGACATATAAAGTTGTGTGCTTACTAATGTAATCGCAAACGTCTCTTCCTGCGACTTGTTGATTGTGATAGCGTATGCGGGGAGAATGGAAAATTGTCGTTGTCGCAAAACAAATGGCAAAGTCGTGTCGGTGGGGGCCAAGTCGATTCTGGGAATCGATTATGTAAATGAACACCGAATCGGCTCGTTCTCTCTCTCAAGCGTTCATCATTTTCATCACAAATAGATAAAGTTGGACGTTTATATTATTATATTAATGTATGTTTTATATGCAGTATCCACTGACTATGCAACAGGGATTTCTAAATGTTTTTTGGCCGAGCAGCAGGAGCAGTCTCTAGTTTGGAGTGCGTAGGAGCCTCATGCTACTACAGGCTTAATTATGATATCATTAAATATTATATAAAATAATTCGTAATAAAGTCATATTTAATGCATTCTTAGTCAATTGAGAATTTTCCTAAATATGAAATAGATAAATATTAATAAATAAATATCAACTATTAAATAAATATTAACTATATAAAATATTCAATATGATCTCATTCAATGTCATTACAACTAAATATGAACGTATCCACCGACTATGCAACAGGGGTTTCTAAATATATTTTTGCCGAGGAGCAGGAGAAGCTTCTAGTTTGGAGTGTGGTTGTAAAGCGCATGCGGAGGAGTCGCACACTACTACACGCGTTCTGTCTCTCTGTTAGAAGGCTCACACGGGGCCTGCGTATGCAATTTAAGCATGGGTCTCTCATGTGCGGCTCTTACTGGGACGAGGTACTTTTTCACTTCATCCAGGGCATGACCCATGCGACTGTAGGCCTCCGACGGTGGAGCAAACACCTCAATCAGGACGTGCAGCTCCTCGCTCAGGTGTGCGTATTTGTTTTCACCGCTCTTTCTCATTTCCTCCTCCTGCCGAAGAATGAAATAATGGTCAGAGTCGCGAATACGCACTGCAGCGCCAGACGCCAATCGACTGCGCATTTCGGTTATTATAATTTGGGTCCATGTTACATCACATCACTGTCTAAATATTTAATATCTGTTTAAAAAGTCTGGCTTTGGAAATGGTTGGTGTTAAAGTAAAGCGGTGGTTATGTTGCAGCCAAAGTTTTTTCCAATGTGCCTGTTTAAAAAAGTCTTTATTTATGCCATATTGACTTACCAAAGCTTTGTCCCTCATTGATCCTTTTCCCAAAATGGACATTTTGGTTCCCGTTTCTTCCTGCATTCTTTTGAGAGAATTACCTCGTGGCCCCAGCAACTTCCCCACAAAATTGAACTGCAAAGCAAAAGAGAAAATATTTCAAATGAGGACACACACAATCCAATTGTTGCTCCTCGAGATGTAGTTGCAATTGGACGTTATATGAATCCAAATTATCTCAGCATCCACGTTATTATTTTTTCATCAGATCTGAAATGGCTCCGTTATGAAGTTAAGCATTGCAAATAAAAAGGAAAACAATTAACTGTTTAAATAAATTATGCTCGGTGATTCAAAGTGTCCCCCAGCCTCCCCCACAGAAGTAAGTGGATGTGTGAATGCTTGTGAGCCAGTAATATTCGTAGCGAAAGTAAGCTGTGCTGTGACTATATTCATGGGATTGGAAAACATTAAAGCTCGATTCTGTGCATGATTGCTGGGGAGAGAGGCAATTGTACCGAACAAGGAAGAATCTCTACAGCTGCAATACCACAGGCACGCAGGTGATGAGAATGAATACAATGCATGGTGGGATTAATATACAAATTACACATTGCATGACAACACAAATCAGGAAATGCACAGCGTTCTCTGTAAAACAAAATAAAAAACGCGCTACTTCCCATCCTCCTTTAACCAGAAATTACTTATTTAATGTATAAAGAGTACCATATATTTAATGGGCTCATAGAACTGTAAACAAGACTTGAGACTCCACATGCAGGGACTTGGCTATTCTAACATTTCTATAGTGATGTCACTGCTCACAAAAATGGGAAATCATGAAGTCGGGAGTGAATGAGCCACGGTGACAGTGTGCATGCACGTATTCAGCATGCAGTCAGTGGCGCCTGGTCTCTATGGGCGTTGGGGCGGCACTCTACCTAAAAAAATTGTTTAAACGTGAAACAAATGGCTGCTCTATATAAGAACGGGAGACACAGGAGAGCCTCACCATTCTGGGGAATTGCCCGATGATGCTGGTTGCAATTACCAGCGAAACGTCGTACTCAAATTGTAAATGTTGTTGCTTCAACACACCGGTGGGCTAAAGCAGTGAACTATTTGTCTTTGTCAACGTGACACATTTTTACTGATTGGCCGTGTCGGGTGGTGGAGGGTTACGACACATTTATAAATAAACGCGATCTAAACCCAAAAATCGTTGATTATGAATAACATTGGTCGCGAAAGCCTACGTGTTAAACTAATTTAATGTTTTTGACATTTTTAATTTGGATAAAATCTATTTTTAAATAATTGGAATTTTTGGCCAGGTTTCTCTGCCCAAATGGGATGCATATTTCACCACCATCTCCTTGGCCAATTTAAACCAATCCCACAGACTGCTGCCACCCTTTGAACAAAATGAGGCCAAAGAAGTGCTAATAAATTCAAAAACAAGCATGTCCAATAACAAGCCTGGCTAGTAACAAGCCTGGCCAATAACAAGCCTGGCCACTAACATGCCTGGCCAATAACAAACCTGACCAATAACATGCCTGGGTACTAACATGTCTGGTCACTAACATGCTGGCCAATAACAAACCTGACCAATAACATGCCTGGCCAATAACAAGCCTGGTCACTAACATGCCTGGGCACTAACATGCTTGGCCAATAAAAACCCTGGCCAATAACAAGCTTGGCCAATAACAACCCTGACAACTAACAAGCCTACCCAATAACACACCGCCATTCCAAGGACATTTACATCGAGACAGCCCGCCCCTCCCCATCAGACACTATAATACAGGAACTGCCACAACTAAAACTGTGACCCAGCAGCCGCCACCACATGCAATGTCTTAAACAATCAACGTTGTTGTACCTTTGGATGCTGTTTTGCTGGAATGATGACCCGTTCAGCCAACTTCATATTCTTATTGCTGACCAAGTCCAAGAATTTTCTCTCCTCCTCATCTACAGCATTATCTCTTTTGCACACTTCAGTTTCTGTTAAGCAGAAAAGAGTTGTAAGATGTTAAGCACAACCTAATATAACCAGATATGTGTTTCTTTCTGGTGCGTGCATTTTTAAAAGAGGCCATCGCATCGTGTTTTAGCCACAATTTGCAATGAGCTTATTCTTACACTTGGCTTGTTGTGGAGGTGCGGGCAGCCGGCCTCTTTATAAATAAAATGTGACAAGTCAGACAAATCCCCATTCTCCAACACATTTGCTCCCATGTAGAGCGGTGTTGTATTGAAGCGGCAGCATCTGTTACCTTTACAGGACTAATCTGAGACCAACGTAGAACGTGCCACTTTCACTAAATAGCTCCTTACATGGAGGAGCCTGGCTCTAACTCAAGGACACTGACCCCTTGTTGCCTATTTAAAGAGAATATCGCAATTCCAATTTGCGATGCGAGCGCTGACACACGATCCAATTAATGAGGTGCGATGTTTATTTTCTGGGGGGTTGGGGGGCTGTTGCTTCACAATGCAGTATAAACCGCTTTGCAGACGGTCCCCCAATCTCAGAGCTAATATGTAGATGCAATTAGAATGCGAGTTTATATTTACGTAATTCAATCGGGTATCAGGAATTTGAATGTCGAGATATGTCCACTGTGCTCGACCTGCGTTTTATTTTCTGCCCCCCCCCTCCACTCACCTCGCAGAAATGCAAGGGCCTCGTTTTTGGTCGTCGCACCGCTGAGCTCCGCGACTCACCGTCGGTGTCTGAAGGGGTGTCTGAAGGTTCCCCTTGTCTACGTTACCGCGCTGCGTGCTAATACCCTCCCGGGATCTCGTGATGAGTCAACAATCCTACCAGCTGCTATTTCACATTCACTTCACGTCTTTTTTTTTTCTTCCATTCGTTGGGTCTTTCGGTAAAGTCACGTCGATACGTTCAAAGAAAATAACAAAAAACTACGACTTTCGATCGCAACACAAGCGGTCGTCACCAGGAAAAGGGGGTGGGGGGGGAAACGTCGTAGTTTTTGGTTATTTTTTGTAAATGTATTTGAACCTATCTACGTGACTTTACCGAAAAACCCAAAGAATATCAATTCCTGCAGTCACGAAAGCTTTAAGTCAAGATTTGCTTTTTTCGTTTGCAACTTTATACTCTTTCCATTGGGTTACCTCTCCTGCGGGTTAGATTCCGACCCTGACACCTGTACAGTTGGAGTCTACATGTTCTCCCCGTGTTCGCGTGGATTTTTCACCGGGTCCTCCGTTTTTTCCCTCCATATTTAGAAAACATGCGTTTAGAATATTTGGCTGCTATACACTCCCACATGATAAGCCACTTCGTTGAGCTATCATTTGTGGCCAGGTCGCTTCTGAAAAAGAGCTATATAGTTCAGTGTGCCTTACCTGGTCAAATAAAAATAGTAAATAGTTATTTTACTATGAAAGGATATAATTGAAATAGCACGCTGTGAACACGAGGAGCAACGTAGAAGGAGGAGCGTTGATGTAATGTCAAAGGTGGTCCCCTCATCACATTCACCATTAATGTATTATACTGCACATTCTATAGACTTATCCTGGAACTGAATTCAACAGGAGCTAATGTAGATCGCCATTCACAGCAGGGCACTTAGAAAAGGCTGCTGATTGTTCGTTATGAGAACAAACAAGCGGCTTCTTCTCACAGCCACACCTTGCTCTTTACAAACAGCGAGCTCTTGCTAACGCCCCCCCCCCCCCACTCATTTGAGGTCTGGTCGATGTACAAGCAAATGTCGCTGCTGTAAACAGAGGTGTGGTAAATTAAAGATGGGCAGCATTTGTAAAAGGAAAATTTAGTTAATATTTTTAAGTGTTTTTTTTTAACCAAAGTTCAATACTAAATGTGCCAAAACACCAATATTATTTTTTTTGTAAAACGTCAAATGGGAGCTATGGTTACTTAATACATGCAAAATATGCAAATTATGTCAAAGGATTAACGCTCCCACGTTTAATTTGCACACTTTGTTTGGGAAATAAAAAGCGTCTGGCAAAATGTTTGTAAGCAAGTAAATAAGCGTGATTATTTATTTTCTTGGCCCCCATTTATAGATAGGTCACCAAGCAGCCAGGAAATGTTCCCTTGAGATTGTTTTCACGAAACACAAGCGTTGAGCCTCGCCAGTTGAATATTAATACGAATCATGAATGTTGCAGATTGCACGATAGAAAACATTACATATGTGTGTACGTTGCCTGTAATACATGCCATCCTTGAAAAAATAGTCATAACCACACAAGTTGCAGCGATATAACATAGTTACAATATATTGTACAAAATACTATCAACAATAATCTTATTTGTTTTTTTTTTGTAAAATATTTTTAAATCGGATTGTTTTATTTCCTGACCCCTTCAAAAAAGATAAAATAATCACAACAAAGATGAATAAAATAACACTACATATTAGATTAGTGCTCTATGTAATGATTTCCAGATACATTGACGGCAGAGTGGTTATGTCATGTCATATTTTTATGACAGCATTTGGCAAGATGCAACGATTAAATCATCGAGTTGAACTGCAATTTGAAGATGTTTTTCAACAATATTTCATCATACTTGAAATACATCCACGGACACCAAACAAGATGTAGTTAAGGGAAACTGACATCACGGTAATGGTCATATCGTGAAATGTCGTGGCGCATGGTGTGAGAAATGATTCTGTGCCCACCTGAGCTTACGGTGCAGCTGAACAGCGCTTTCACAATTTATTTTGCACTAGTATGTATCCTAACCTTATTTTCTTTTATTTTCACAGCCCTTTGTCAATCGACTGCTGGATAAATACCTAACCTCACACCGGGTTGATCGTGTGGGTTATTTGACCATACTTCACCGCACCGGTCAATGCAGGGAGAGGGCACAGGACCGGTTCAGGTATCCCTTGCCACAGATGTTATCTATTGCCCTGGAATCGAACTTGGCCGTCTTGGTCCATAGTACGGTACGCCAACCACTGCACCTTCACTCCACTCCTTCGTGTATGATATTCCAGAAATGACCAACCCCATACACCGAGTGATATTTACTTAACGGTGAAACTAAGTGGTCTTGCCTTTAAATACAAACCCAATGTAACCACGTGGCTTGAACTTTGTTGATGCCGTAAAGGCAGAGGGCGATGTGCATGTAAAGCGACCAGACTTGCAGGTCTGCAAGACTGACGTTTTTGTGACTGGAGGCAGTGCATTGAAGGGAAACACAGCAGCGCCACCTAGCGAGATGCGACGGCTACATGAAAGAAATCATCTGACAAATGCTCCCTTGCCATCCACATTTGTCGTCGTCCCTTGGCATAAAAATGTAGATACACTTATTTTTTACACATCCCATCAGCCACACTGCCTTCTGGGAGCACATAATTTCAGCAGCACCGTATCAACACAAGCAAAACTCGACATTCGGTCTCTCATCGGCAGTACTCTGTGAAATTCCTGTGATTAATAATACAGGGCGATGTATTTATTGATACCCCGTTGAAATATTGTGGAGAAAATTCAATGAAAATAAGATTTTACTTTAGAAGTTTCTACACGTCTGACACCAATCTCAATACAAGTATTAGATAGTTCAGTTCTCTCCTCTGTAATACATGGAGCTATCACTTTCGCAATGTTCCATAACATGTCAAGAAATAACACACCCTACATATATTTTGTAAAAATGTGCACAATGTACTTATATTACTGTTCTTCTCAAATACAATAAGGGTCATAACCATGAATTGTAAAGTTAGTGGAATTGTATTTAATACAAATCCTTTTTGGATTAACCGCATATTAAACGTACCACTGTGTGACATAAATACTAAAAACGCCCAATCACTGCCAATATATAAATGTAATGGTGCATTCGAGACAAAACACATCTTCAATGTGCTATGATTGAATATTCACTATAAACAACCTGAAAATTAAATCAGTACCCATTCAACGGGTGGCAATGTTAAATTGCAGTCTCAATAAATACCAGCATGAATAAATAACCCAATTAATTTCCAGCAATTGATCTTCATACCCAAGCAACTCCAGGGCGTCTCTCCTAAGTTGTTAGGCAGAGGTGAGCAGAATTAGAGGGCTAGGATAGTATTTAAATCCCACATCTCGTGGGGGCGAAGTTTTATCTGCAGCCCCTGCCAAACAATTATATCCAGTAACCCTTTTTAGCATTCCTATACAAACACCACAGCACAAGTAACCCTCCTCCTCCAGGGAAGGGCACATTGCCCTCACGACAATGCAATTTCACATGTGACAGCTTATCTGAAAAACAAAACCATTTCAATGGGGAAAAACGCCATATTTGTGTATGTAGATATATGAATCACCAACACGATTTGAGCTCTTAAAATATTGACTTCCCCCGTTGCACACTTTGTAATTGCCATCAAGCTAATCACCTCAAGTTATTTACTCATGCTCCCACTATTAATTAGCTATGGATGTTTTTTTTTAAAGGAATATGTTAATATTAAATAGGTTGCATGAATTATGTATTCACTGCATACAATTCTTAGTTGTTTAATATTGGAATCCCAACATATTACATATTGAAAGGGCCTTATTTCAAATTAGCTTACTGTATCACAATAACAAATCACAAGTGTGCTCACTAACACATTGTTGATGGCCTGTATGGAGGTAATGCATATTTCTAGTTAAATCTTAAAGGTTGGCAACATGTTTTTTTGTAAAGAAAATGAATTATAAATTCAAAATATTAAACTTAAAGCATGAAATAATTGCCGTGTTTGTTTTTTACTGTGTATAAAAAAATAACAATACGTCTGGAAAGTTATGGAGTTATTAATGATCCATAATGTGTTCCCTCTTATTTACCCAGCCTTTAATTGGAAATAAATACTGATGTGACTACAGTGGAACGTTTCTGATCAGTGTATATCACTTGCTGTGACCTAAGAGTATGTAAATATGGGTACTGACAGAGAAGATAAAACCTGAAGAGTGTACGAACGATCTCAGTGAGCTGCATACGAGGAATGACACCGAGAAAGCAACACTCATATTAGTAAACAACAAAAGCAAATTTCGATGTAAAGCTTTCGTGACTGCAGGGATTCATCTTCTGGATTCTTTCGGTAAAGCCACGTAGAAGGGAAATAATAAAATAATAAAACTAAAACATAATAAAATAATTCTCACGACGTTTCGGCCTACAACGCAAGCAGCCGTCCTCATGTAAAGTCACGTATAAGGGAAATAATGAAATAAAAAAAATAGAACATAATAAAATAATTCTCACGACGTTTCGGCCACAACGCAAGCAGCCGTCCTCAGGTGAACAATGACCTGAGGACGACGGCTGCTTGCGTTGTGGCCGAAACGTCGTGATAATTATTTACTTATATTTTATTTATTTTATTTTATTATTTCCCTTCTACGTGACTTTACCGAAAGAACCGAGAACAACAAAAGCAAGTTAGGAAATATGTTATTGGAGTTTAAGACAACTAAATGGGCTTGGGCAGGACACGTCACTTCGTAGGGAATGATGGCCAGTGGTCAAGAATTACGACGTAGTGGAAGGAAGAGAGCATAGCCCAAGAGGATCACGTCTACAGAGATGGAGTAGTGAGATTAGCTCGCTCTGGATGGATTCTTACATCACAAGACTGCGGCTTCAGCGAAGATGAAATGTTCATATCGATCTTGAAGACTACAAGAGATGGCAACGACTTGTGAATGCCTTCATCCAGCAGTGCATAGATCATGACTGATGATGATGAAATAAATATCACAATGTATCCGAACAAGGTTAGCTTTTGAATTATGAGCTCCGATTGAGAAAAAAAACTGATAACAAAACTACGTATTAAAATTGTGTACGAATGCCAATCACATGTTTGTAACACTGCTATGAAAGTGGGCCATTGTGATCTGGAACTATTTTGTGAAATTTAAATGAATTGCAGTGTTTGACTAAATCACGCCTCTGTGGGCTGGGTGTGCCTCATCGGAGGATTGTGGTGGTCTCAACGGATCAATGTAGCATAAATATGGGAATGTGCTTGAAGTGAATAAAAAAGTAAAATTGCGTGAGCTTAATGAAATAAAAATTCTACAGGAAACTGCATTTCAATACAAAACCGAATTAAGTTGTAATACAACAAAAGATTAATAGGCAATTATGAACACAGGAATGGAGGTGGTATGGGAATTAATGGAGTGGAACCCGTGTCCATTTTCGGTGTTATACTTGACCAAGTTGGGATGCTTTTTAAGAGCGTGCAATTACTTCAGTTGGCGTGAATTACACCGTGAGTCACATTCAATTGTATCCCACCAGCCTGATCACGGTGTTTACTCAGCAAATGCAGGTGGGGGCGTGAGTCATGAAATACACATATTTCCGGACTGAAAAAATACATTAATAAGCAGAAAATACACCATGTCCCTCCACATTAAAGTTTTTTTTTCTACATGCCATCATCAGCCGCACGGTGTATGACTGATGGGTACGTGTGGCTGATGGGATGCAATCTTTACGTGGAGGGTCAGATATTGAAAGAAGGCGAATGGCTGCTTTATCTTTTTTGGTACGTGATCTACGTGCTCCACAACGCCAATGAGTATTGTGTTTTTTCCTCGGCGTGTGTCCGCGTCATCTTTATCGGTACATATCAAACCGAACACTCAATCACAACGCATTATGCGCAGTAGGTTTTCACGAGCGGGATTGATGCAGTTGCTGTCCTTAAAGCATCTGCAGCCTTAAAACCCATTCATTACCTTCATTGTCCAACATCCAATTTGCATACATTTGCTGCATTACGGCCCTCCCAGAAGCCACAGCAGCAGTGCACGTGCGCGCCCTCCAATACAACAAGCCTTCATTACGAGCGTATGAGATGGTAATGCAAATTCCATTTGCTGATCCTATAAATGCGTGACCTTTTTGCACCGCTACTTTGCCCACAGGCAAAAAAAAAAGACAGTGAGTGCGGTCACTACGAGCTAAGAAAATGAGCAACTACATTCTAACTCGGTGCTTTTTCTTGTAATCATTACGCAGCCCAGAGGCACCACCGTTAGTCAGTGCACTCCACACACACAAAGGTTGTGAGTTCGATTCTCTGTCGAGGTTCCCACTCCGTCCTTTTATTTCCAGAGTCTATCGAGAGTTACCAGTCAAACCAACATTGGACGTCCTACAAAGAGTTTGGGCCCAGCCATATAAATGTGACATTTCTTACCATTGACTCAAATATGATAACTTCACTCTATTAACTCAAAACGAGTATACCAAAACTCCGATTAGCAGGGTTGCCTATGTAAGGTGCGAAATAAGTTCAACATACATGCATACACAACTGCGATAATAAATTGCTTTATCTTTGCAAAGTAGCCCTGTGAAAATTCTAAACTTCGATAAATTTGCATCGGTCACGCTCGGGAACTAACGCATGATGTGTTATCACCAGTGTAGCACGGAGATAACGGCGACAAGGCGATCGTGTATCAGCTACATCGTAAGGTAAGCTGTGCTACATCGTAACGCAGATGCCGTGCGCAACTGACACGCGTCTACTTAAACAGGGTCTGGGTTTGGAATGCACGGTTCACTGGCTCACTTTAGCATACGGTGCACCTGTGCATCGGGAGGTCAGCTAATACACTGAACATTTATATTTTATTTGACCAGATAAGGTCCACTGAGCGATATAGCTTTTTTCAGAAGCGACCTAGCTATCACAAATGATAGCTCCATGTGGGGTGGCTTATCGTGTGGAAATGTACAGTAACCAAGTACTCGAAACACAAGTCTCTAAATGTGGAGGGCTCTACAGGCTATAGTTGATGTGAACAGATGCTCGCTTGCGTTTATCGCGGCATAAGTCAGCCTACAATACATTAATTGTAATAAAACTAAGTTCATAACACCCGGCCGGCTCATTAGTCGTTTAAATCATACAATACTCTATAGTTCGTAGATCTTATTCTTATTGCGCTACGGGGTGTAATTATTTAGACCGCATATTATCATCTTCATTACGCAGAAAGAAAAAAACCGAAAGTTTAAATTACAAAACCAATCGGAATATATTGCAACATTATTCCGTGACTGAGATAAAACCGGATGATGACTATTGCTCAGTTTGCAGGACAGCAGTTTTCTGATCTAAGAGTTCGGCATCCCCCGGCTTGAATACACTCGGCCCATCATTCCGCGGGCGAGCCCTAACCAAGCAAGCGCATTATCGCAAGATGTCACTTAATGCATGGGACATCAGCAGTGGTGTGTGTGTGTGTACTATGGACTTACTTGCCCTGCCATAGAAACGTGACATTGGCAGCACAGATGTAAATTGGCACAATATGAGCACTCGGACGCTGGTATGATCGCTATCGCTTATGTTATTACACGATGGAGCATATTCATCAATCATTACGCAGCAATAGACAAATAGTTGTAACGGCGCGACTACTGTGATGAGCAGAGGCAGTAAGATAGCGCTCAGCACTAGGCACGCAAATATGACCCCAATGCCACAGAATGAGACAGGGCTGAGTGGGTGAGTGAGCGAGGCTGCGTAGTGTGCGCCGTCTTGTACCTGCTGCTGCTGCTCCTGCGATCGCAGTGCTGCCGCTGCGTTCCAGCTGCAGCTCCGCCAGAGGAGCGCCCTGTACCAGGAGGGCACTGCTGCTGATGATCTCCATGGCAAGCGGAGATGGGCAGGGAAGGCGCTCTGTAGATGCGGGATGTGGGGGGGGGGGGTAGCGGATGGACAGACTGAGTCGCCTCGCTGAGTGTAGGTAGCGTGGACTCGCGTCCGCTCTGCCTCGCGTGCGTGTTCTGCTGTCCTATAGAGTGTGCTGTTCGAAAGAGAGTGTGCTGTGGTGTAGAGTGCTATCCTTTAGAGCGAGTGTGATGTCATAGAACGAGTGTGGTTCTGTGCTCGAGCGGGTGTGATGTGATCGAGAGTGTGCTGTCCGATAGTGTGCTGTGCTGTAGAACCTTTCGCCACTCGGTTGAGCGTAGTCTCCACGAGCCTGATGTGCCTCGCGTGTGTAACGTGGCGATGATGCTGCTGCTGCTGCTGCTGCTTCTGCGTCCGTGTGATGTCGTCCAAGCTACTGCTGTCCACCTATGCGCGATGTTCCGCGGAGGCTCGAGGTTGCTCCTTCCTGCGCGTTATTTAAACGGGTGTGTGGTCCCTACGTCTCTTGTGATTGGCGGGGCTTGCCTATCTCCCCTCTGTCCGTGTCTCTCTCTCTCGCTGTATTTGCCCCGTGTGGGCCGTGCCCGACTGCCGCTGCTACTGCCGCTCTGGTCCCAGGCAGTGCCGCGCGTTTCGTTATAAACGCCGCGAGGAGCCACCGCGCAGTACGCACGCGCCGTGTCCCCCCCACTCCCCGATCCGCCCCACACACGCGCGCGCGCGCACTCAGAGACGCGCGCACGCAGAGACGTACACACAGACGTACACACAGACGCACATAGACACTCACACACATAGACACAGACACACAGAGACACACACAGACGCACATAACACAGAGACACACATAGACACTCACACACATAGACACAGACACACAGAGACACACACAGACGCACATAACACACAGACGCACATAGACACTCACACACATAGACACAGACACACAGAGACACACACAGACGCACATAACACAGAGACACACATAGACACTCACACACATAGACACAGACACACAGAGACACACACAGACGCACATAACACAGAGACACACATAGACACTCACACACATAGACACAGACACACAGACGTACACACAGACGCACATAACACAGAGACACACACAGACACTCACACACAGACACAGACACACAGAGACACACACAGACGCACATAACACAGAGACACACATATACACTCACACACATAGACACAGACACACAGAGACACACACAGACGCACATAACACAGAGACACACATAGACACTCACACACATAGACACAGACACACAGAGACACACACAGACGCACATAACACACAGACGCACATAGACACTCACACACATAGACACAGACACACAGAGACACACACAGACGCACATAACACAGAGACACACATAGACACTCACACACATAGACACAGACACACAGAGACACACACAGACGCACATAATACACTCACACTGTCACACACATATATACCGCTTATAGCCTGAACAGACTGTTGGGGCAAGTGCTGTTAGCGAGCACCTCTAAAGGCCGGCACGGCACACGAGGGTGTGGGTGGGTGGCCAGCACCACGCCCGGTCCGCCTTTGTCTCCCCAGTGGCGATGTTTACACACCGCACCAGGTACTCATTTGAGGCTGTGTCGACCGGTTCAGATAATCGTCACCGGTGTTGGCCGTGAGCGGGATTCGAACTCGGGGGCCGGGTCCGTAGCGCAGCGCTGACCGCTACACTAGCACACACAGAGACACACACAGACACACACAGACACTCACACAAAGGAAACAAAAACAAATATCCCCCGTATAGCCTTACCAGACTGCAGGGACAAGTGCTGTTAGCGAGCACCTATGAAGGCCGGAGCGATACACGAGGGGGTGGGTGGCCAGCACCACTCCCGACCGCCTTTGTCTCCCCAGTGGCGATTTTTTTTACAGACCACACTAGGTACTCATTTGAGGCTGAGTCGACCTAGCGGAGGCCCAGGACCGGTTCAGATAATCGTCACTGGCGTTTTCCGTGAGTGGGAATCGAACTCAGGTGGCCGGGTTCGTAGTGTAGCGCGCGAACCGCTACACCACCGCTCCCCACACACAGACACGCACATACACAGACACACACATACAGACAGAAAATGATCCCCGTATAGCCTGAACAGACTATTGGGGCAAGTGCTGTTAGTGAGCGCCTATGAAGGCCGGCACGGTATACAAATGGGTGGGTGGCCAGCACCAAAAACACACGCACACACACGACACCCACATGACAGAAAAATACACATGGCCTCTATATTAGATGGCTCGCTAACATCAAGTGCTTTTAGCGAGCACCCATTAAGGCTACACACAGCCACATTTGCAAATGTGAGGTGTAACTTTGATCCTTACCTATGTATCGAGGGACTGTGTGTTGTCTTGGTGTAGTCTGGGACTGTTTTTGTTGTTGTGTTACTGCCTTTCCCTAGCTTGGGGTTTGATGTGCTTATGCAATTTTAACCTATTTAATTGTATTAAAGCGGCGTCAAGGTGGCGTGATGTTGTCTTCCTCGCCTGGTATACAGGAGGTCGGGGTTCGATCCCGATCCTGAGGCCTGTATATTTGGAGTTGGCGTGTCTTTCTCCCGTGGTCGCATGTATTTTTTCCTCCGGTGCCTCGGGTTTTTCCCTCCATATTTGAAAACATGCGTTTCGATGATAGTATTTTGATTATTTGGCTGCTATACATTTCCACATGATAAGCCACTTCGTCGAGTTATCATTTAGTGACCAGGTCGCTTCTGATAAAGAAGCTAATAGCTCAGTGGACTTTTACATCATACAACAAACATAGACGTATGTTTTTTGTGATTTGCTTACCTTCCCTATACTATGCACTCTATTGTGTTTTTGTATTGTTTGTTGTTGTAACTTTCTGCCCCGCCCCTACTGGACATCAGTGAAAAAGAGCTTTATAGCTCATCGGATTCCTCCAGTATAAATAAAGATTCTGTTTCTGAAGGCCGGGATGGCACACGAGGTGGTAGGTGGCCAGCACCACGCTCGACCCCCTTTGTCTCTGCCGTGGCGATGTTTACTACACACCGCACCAGGTGCACATTAGAGGCTGAGTCGACATAGGGGAGGCCCAGGACCGGTTCAGATTATTGTCACTGGTTTTGACCATGAGCGGGTATCGAAACACGTGTCACCAGGTTCGTAGCGCAGCGCGCTAACCGCTGCACCACCGCTCCCCAGAGACAAAGACAAACATACACACACATGCTGACATATACGGTGAACGCATCCGCACACAGTCCGCGCCATGTTATCTCATTAACACCGACATATATATAAATACAGACATATGCACTTCATGCTCTTTGGTTCTTTCGGTAAAGTCACATAGGTATGAAATGTCGAAAAATACCGAAATAACCAAAGAGTATGGATTCCTGCAGTCACAAAAGCTTCAAATCGAGATATACACTTCATGCTTACACATGCACCCGCAAGCAAGCACACGCACATACACATGCTTTACAAACAGACAAAGATCCCCCGTATAGCCTTAACAGACTGTTGGGGAAAGTGCTATTAGCGACCACCTATGAAGGCCGGCATGGTACACAGAGGGATAGGTGGCCAGCACCACGCTGGGCCGCCTTTGTCTTCCCAGTGACGATGTTTACACACCGTATCAGGTACTCATTTAAGGCTGAGTCGACCTCGGGGAGGCCCAGGAGCGGTTCGGATATTCATCATCTATGTTTGCCGCGAGTAGCGGGGTTCGTAGCGGAGCGTGCTGAACACTTCACGACTGCTCCCCATAGATTGCACATCTGGTCACACACACACAGGCACGTTGGAGATTATACAACACACCTCAAACTTATGCTTTCAAAATGATCACAGGGAAAAGTGGTTTGCGTTATAATCCGGATAATAGGTACATCTGTATAATATGTAGGCGTATAATTAATTTAGCATAATCAGCCAATCCCAATAACGTGTTCTTTTCTAAATTGACACCAGGATACGTGATTGACTCTCAGCATGCCAGGTGCCTCCATCACTGCGCAACACCTCGCGACCTGACAGGCTTGCGTTAATACCACACAGTACGTGCGTAAACAAAGAGTGGCTCACGTCGAAGTTTGAAAGAGGCTGTACATAGAATGCAACCTGGTGACGCAGGCAGGGATGAGAAGGAAACTGGCACTATTTGGACACATATGTAGGATGCAACAACAGAAAATTTGAAGTGTTTTGTTCGGAAAAATGAAAGCAACTGGAAAGAGAGGAAGACCTGCCAGAGAATGGCCTGGCGACATAAGAGATTGGTGCCAGAAAGATGTGCACTAGTTGAGCATATTGACACAAGATAGAGGAAAGTGGAAACAAATAAGGAATAGTGCAGTAGACACCAACGGACTATCTGCCCGTGGATCGCGATGATGATGATGACGTACAGACAATCATGGCATTCGCGTGTGTAGCGCACACATAACGACGGGACTTTGCTGACAATTTCAAACGATGCTTTGTGACCCGACGTTGCAATTATTATATTGGGAGTGTTTTGAAATCCAAAAAGCGGTTAATTCGAGTGCGAGTGGCGGGCGCTTAGAAGCGAGGTCGCGCTCCAGGAGTTTTCTGTGGACGCCTGCCAATCATCAGTAAATGTCGGGTTTTTTTTGTTTTACAGTGGATTATTCTAAAAGCAATGTTTTTTCATGATGTTCGAGATGGATTCTCTCGTACTGCATAATGAATGAATTTTAAAACCTCTTTAATGTTTAATCGGATTTGTGGTTTAAGTGCACTTCATAGAAAACAAGCCAAATAGATTTGCAACATCAAAATATCGCGTACGTTTGTAATTTACAGTCACAGTAGGGCAACAATGCCGTGCATAATTCTAAGCGCCCCGTCAACAACGACAGCAACAAAAAATGTGTACTTTAAACACACCAGTTATGTTCTAAACTTCATCACAGACTGCCCATCAATAAAACGTTATATTCCCATAAACTAAACACGTGTTACATTCTGAGTTTTATTACAGACGCAGCTGAGTTGCTCTCTTCTTACGGAACGAGACTGGCCCACACGCGAACGCAAGACGGCTTGCGATATTGTGTTGCGTGAGCGTTGCTGCGCCCGATATTAGATTTCACCTTTAATAAAGTAGACCAAACTAGATGAACGAGTCATTAACGTAGCGTTGAATTTTGTTCGCTGTTTTTGCCTTTCAGTAAATGTTTATTTAATAAAATTGTGCTGGTAGCAATAACAATCAAAACACTCCTCTCTCTCTCTCTTTCTGCCTCTTGCCACCCATGGCTCGACGCTGGCATTCTCAGGCTCGTTTAACCTTGCTGAAATCAGGAAACGTATCTTTTCACAGTTACACTTTTAATAATGCTGATTGTTGCCTGGCGCTTTGGCCTTTTGGACACTGTGTTCAGCAAACTGTGCTTAAAAAAAAATTGGAAACAGCGGCAGTTGCGAATATTAGTGGTCAGAAGAATTAATCTGGCATTAATGTTTTAGTAGTGCCCATTAGGCCCTTGGGTGTAATCCCACTGTGATGCTGCTTGGCAATACGCACTCCTCCCAATAACCCAGCACAGCA